TGCAAAGGGCCAGGGCATGCATATGCAAAAGCCTGTGCCGCAGCCTGGGTGGGGCGGGGTCTCAGGGAATCAACAGGGCGGAGCAAGCAGCTAATGCTGATCCTCAGCTGTGCCCTAAGGGGCACCTCGTCTCAGTGTCCCGGTAACTGCTGCAAGCACCTCTGAGAGAAAGCCGCCCTCAAGTTCCAAGTTCTGCCTGCTTCCCCTTTCCACATGCACTCGAGCCTCCGTACCTCTGCACTTTACTTCCACAGCTCCTCTGAGTCTCAGTGTGCTTTTCTCTTTCCTTCTAGTTGTAGAATTACCACTCAGCCAGCCTTCCTGTAGTTCTGGATTATGTCTGTTTTGTCTTTTCATTGTATTTTTGAAGTTGTTGTGGGAGGCAGCAATTTCCGGTGTTTACCTATGCCGCCATCTTGGTTTTCCCTCAACTTTTTTGTTTTTATTTTGTTTTTGTTTTATCCTATATAGTAGAGGCCTGGTGCATGAATTCATGCACAGGTGGGGTCCCTCGGCCTGGCTGGCCTGCTGGGGTAAGGGATCCCAGGTGGTTGGCCAGCCACCCACCTTCCCCCAAATCAGGGCCTATGTGGGGAGGGGAGGCCAGCCAGCAGGGGGGAGGGACCACAGGAGGTTGGCGGGCTGGTGAGAGGTTCCCTGTGGGAGCACACTGACCACCAGGGGCAGCTCCTGAGTTGAGCGCCTGCCCCTGGTGGTCAATGCGTGTCATAGCAACTGGTCATGTATAGGTAAAAGCATAGGTCCATAGGGGGAATAGGAGCTGAGATGTTAGGAACATTTGGGAAGGAGATGGATAAAAACGGTGGATCCTAACTAGCTAGAACAGTGATGGCGAACCTTTTGAGCTCGGCATGTCAGAAAAACCCTAAATTAATTCTGGTGCCGTCACATATAGAAATTTTTTGATATTTGCAACCACAGTAAAACAAAGAATTATATTTTTGATATTTATTTTATATATTTAAATGCCATTTAACAAAGAAAAATCAACCAAAAAAATGAGTTCGCGTGTCACCTCTGACACGCGTGTCATAGGTTTGCCATCACTGAGCTAGAGACACTAGAGCCCTACCCTGGCCGTGGAGAAAATGGCCCACTTTACACATCAGAATCCTCAAAAGGCTCAGGAACTCGGTACCAGGCGTGTATGAGGCAGGGGTGGAGTGGGGTGGAGGGTTGCTAAATCAGGGAAGGTTGAGTGAAGGGGAAGGCATAGTTGCTATCTAGATCCACCCTGCTTCCTTCACACTGCGAGGTAACTGCCCTCCCTCATCCTGGCAGAAGCCCTGAGGATTATGTTCTGAAGAAAGGTAAAACAGGATTTCTGGCAGGCAAAACACAGGTATAGCTGAGGACTGGGTACTATTCTGAAAACTGGAAATGAGTAGTTTTATCAGTAAGGGTCTCAGCAGAACAGGCCCCCAAGGCTTCCCCTGAGGGGAGTTTCGGGCAGGGACTATTTACGAAGATGTGGGTAGGGCTATGGAAACCTCAATAGTGGGGTACCAGGAAGGAGCAATAGCAAGGTCAGCACTCCCAACCCCCCAGTGTTACAGTGCCTCCCACTGGCAAACCCAACCAGAAGCTGAGAGCAAAGGGGCTCAGGGGACACCGTCCTTAGACACCCTTGTCCTAAGGCAAAAAAAAGGGTGGGAAATGGATCTAGAGAGGCAAGCAGAGAAAACCAGCACAATGATCTTATAAAGTACTGACTCCTCGGTCTAGAGGGGCAGCCCCCTCCCCCACCACCAGGCTACCAGAACACTGACCTCAACTCTCCCAGAGAGCTCCCAGCTGAGGCCCAACATGGCCACATGCTGCCTCCTTTTTTTCAGTTCTCACACCGTAAACAAAGTGTCCTTTTTGTGGTCTACTTCCTGCCACTTTTTTTTTCCGTATTTTCTGTGTCTTTCATCGGTGACTTCACTGTCTCAAATGGCCCCCAAGCGTAGTGCTGAATTGCTGTCTAGTGTAGCCAAACACAAGAAGTCTGCGGTGTGGTGTGCCTTATGGAGGGAATGCTTGTTAGATTTGCTTCATTCAGGCATAAGTTCTTAGACTTGACACCACAATGTGTTCCATAAGAGAAAAATGGATACATTTGTCTTAATCATAATTTAATACTTTTGCTGTGCCAAAATAGATCCTGGTAAAAGGATGAGAAGCTATGCTATCTACCGGGAGAAAATATTTTGCAAACCACATATCTAACAAAGAACTAATTTCTAGAATACATTAACTCTAAACATTCAACAGTAAAATAATCCAATTAGAGAACGGACAAAAAGACATTTCACCAAAGAACATATAGAGATGGCCCATAAGCACAATAGATGTTCAACGTCATCAGGGAAATGCAAATTAAAACCACAAAGAGCCGTGGGGGTGTCTGAGCGGTAGCCCATGCACCCAGGGGTTGCTGGTTCGATTCTCTTTTGGGGCACATGCCCAGGGGCTCAATCCCCAGCAAGGGGGCAGCTGATGGACATTCTTTCACGCGGCTGTTTCTCCCTCTCCCTCTCTCTAAAAAATAAATAAATAAAAATATTTAATAATTTTTCTAAAAAGAAATTGGGTGGCCTAGAACAGAAATCATGGGCCCAGTGGTTTGGAAGGGATCCGAGGTCATTTAGTTCAACCTCCAAGGAACTGTCGGGAGAAAGGAGGCTCGAATTATCAATTCCTATGGGAGAAAAAGTCCCCACTGATTTCCTCTCGGTACGTAATACGTATTCAGTAACTATGAAGAGGAAAAATCCCTGAGAACTCGGGGGCTGAATTTTCTAAAATATATTTTTATTGATTTTAGAGAGGCAGAGGGAGAGATAGAAACATCAATGATGAAAGAGAATTATTGATCAGCTGCCTCCTGCACGCCCCCCACTGGGGGTTGAGCCTGCAACCCAGGCAGGTGCCCTTGGCCGGAATCAAACCCGGGACCCTTCAGTCCGCAGGCCGACGCTCTATCCACTGCGCCAAACCGGATGGGGCTCGGAGCTGAATCTGAGAGACAAGGGCGCCCAGAAGAAACTTTCCAGGAATTCACCTGAGCACATTGGCAGGGGAGCTGGTTGGAGGGAAAGTGCACAGCCGGACGCTGTGGCGATCAAGCCAGCGCTCTAATATGACTGCAGCCACACTCGCTTCCTGCGCATGACCTTCACCTAGGTGACAGGTGGTGCAATCGGCCTAGATTTCAGAGAAAGTGCTCATCGTGTGACAGTGCTGCTTCCTCGAGGGAGAGAGACTGGTGTGGGCAGGTGAGGGGCCAGAACTCCGATCCAGCCTCTGCGCGCCCGCGGTGCCTGTCCCCGCCCTGGAAGGTGACTTTAAGTCCCAGGGCGGAGGGAGAAAGGTCAGGTGCACGTGTCCAACCGTCCTAACGCCTGACTCCAGGCTCGCTCTCCGGGTGCCGCTGGCACCAGAAGTGAAAGTCTGACCAAGTGCGTGTAAAGGTCGCCAGCTGAAGGGAAGTGGCCAGGAGACGTCTCTATCCCGGAAGGCAAAACGCCGTCCTCCTAGGCCCGACGTCAGCGAGCGCAAGAGCCGTTACCTTAGCAGGATAACGCCCACGACCCACCTCGGGGGGTTCACTCCACCCGCCCCAACGGCACGCGCCACGCATGCATTCGAGCTAAATATACCGTATCCTGTAAATGTCTGTCTTGAAATCATCTCTCTTCCTGTTCTTGACTCCTGTTTCTACGCTCCGCCCAATCTCGGCTCACACGGAATTACTGCGACGAGAGGCAGTAGGTCTAGCAAAGGCCTTGCCGCCTCTGCCACTTACAGACGGGAATTCTGATTCCTGGACTCTTTAAAAAGACAAGGATGCCACCAGAAAAGCAAAAAGAATAAAAAAATGTGAGGATGGAACACCGGTACTTAGGCGCGGACCGGCGTGTCCTTGGACTTAGAGAGCGGGACGTCCGGCTTGCGAGTGGGCATCTCCGTGTCGCGCGCGACTAACGAGCGGTGAGCACAGGGCACGGAGTACGCAGCAGGTGGCAGCAGGTGGAGGCCGACCCCTGGGGGCGCGCACCAGCGGAAGAGCCGTTACCTTAGCAGGATAACGCCCACGATCCACCTCGAGGGGGGGTCCACTCCACCCTCCCCAACGGCACGCGCCACGCATGCACTCAAAGGCCGGACGGTGATGTCAGCCCCGCCCAAAACCTCCTCCGTGACGTAAGTCTAGCGGACTGTCGTAACTGCCCGGCAGTGAGGCTTCCACAGGAAGGGCACCAGTGCGGTACATCCTACCCTGCTAGCAGGCATGCGCGCGCTGGTTGCTGACGCAGGGCCTGGGGGTATAGAGCCAATGAGATGCGGCTACGTCACTGCGTATCAGTAAGCCAGGTCGCACGTCGGGCCGCAAAAGGGCGGAGCGAGTTCGGTTGCACCAACACCGGTACTTAGGCGCGGACCGGCGTGTCCTTGGACTTAGAGAGCGGGACGTCCGGCTTGCGAGTGGGCATCTCCGTGTCGCGCGCGACTAACGAGCGGTGAGCACAGGGCACGGAGTACGCAGCAGGTGGCAGCAGGTGGAGGCCGACCCCTGGGGGCGGGCACCAGCGGCGGGGGGCGCGCGGGCGGTTGGAGGCCTGCCAGCGCTCCACATTCTTCTTCAAGGAGAGTAAAAGCGGCTGCTTCTCGGGGAAGGGGTCATTTTTTTTCCGACCACCTGTCTCTTCACCCCTAAACCCGCCGTGGCATCTCAGGAAGTCTTCGTCACAGTCTCCTTGAAACCGGCCGGGATGGGTGACCTCGTGGTCGCCCCCAGGGAGCCCGGAGCCCTCGCCGCCCCGCTGACCTTTCACCCGCAGCCAGGCCGTTTAGCGTGACCTGCGCGGGCCGAGGCGGCCTCCACCCCTTTCCTTAATGTACTCCGTCTCCTTTTCAGTGCGAGGGTGGCTTTAACTTGTAGTCTGGATAAATAGGCATTTTTAGTCGGAATTTCTGCGATTTTGGCTTACCTTGCTCACCTTCAAACTCCACTCGTGACCTTGACCTCATCCTTTGAAACACTTTCGAATTAGGTTCCCATTTCGCTTGCTCGGGCGTTGACTTTCCCTCGCTGAAGCAGAGCGTGTTTTTTGTGTTTTTTTTTAAGAAAGTTCTTCCGAATAGTATTTTCGTATTAAAGCGTCTGTTGCAAATGTACTCAGTGAAGGTGGATGTCATAGATTTGCAGTGGATTGGTAGTTAGGTGATCGCTGGTTGATTGGGTCCCGCTATGTTTTTACTTGGAGGAAAGACTGAATAAATTGAGTCTTTTATTTGAGGAAAGACAATAAATTGAGTCTTTTATTTTTAGATTTAAAAATGGGTGATGTTGAGAAGGGCAAGAAGATTTTTGTTCAGAAGTGTGCCCAGTGCCATACTGTGGAAAAGGGAGGCAAGCACAAGACTGGGCCAAATCTCCATGGTCTCTTTGGGCGAAAGACAGGTCAGGCCCCTGGATTTTCTTACACGGATGCCAACAAGAACAAAGGTAAGAGGGAGGCGGTGAAATCACTGAAGCACGTTCCATGGGTGTGACCTGTGGGGGACACTTTAAAAGGAGTGTGAGCCCTAGCTGGCTTGGCTCAGTGGATAGAGCGTCAGCCTGCGGACTGAAGGGTCCCAGGTTCGATTCCGGCCAAGGGCACATGCCTGGGTTTCGGGCTTGATCCCCACTGGGGGGTGTGCAGGAGGCAGCCAATCAATGATTCTCTCTCATCATTGATGTTTCTACTTCTCTCTCCTTCTCCCTTCCTCTCTGAAATCAATAAAAAAATAAAACTTTGGCAAACTACTGGAGACCTCTACACAGATTATTGTTAACATCTTTCTCAAGAATTTATATAAAACCCTAGAGGCCTGGTGCACTGGTAGGGTCCCTAGGCCTGGCTGGTGATCAGGGCCGATCAGGGTCTTCTGGCTGCCAGG